AAAAAAAAAAAATAATAAGTACCTATAATAGACCATATTTTCCAGACATTCAACAAATATTTATTGAGCACCACCTCTGTGTCAAGCATTATTCTAGACACTTCAGCAAATAAAACAGGACAAATGGAACTGGCCTCCTGGAGACCTACCCTAACACTAAGTTGTAAATCACAGGGCTAGTACATGGGGTTCTTCCTAGTGCTTTTATTTATAAGGATCAAGTTAACCTTTGACTTGTAAGATGTTTTCTACTCAAAGGACTTCGGAATTTGCCCTCTTGCTTTCATTATGCTTATTATTTCCTCCAGGAAAGGAGGTGTATGGGAGAGTGAGGAAGGCAGCAAGTTGCGGACTCATTCATTACTTTCTCTTTTCTTAGTCTGCTTTGAACAGGTAATTTTCTCCCACAGGAAATCTAGGCATGCGAACACTTTCCCAACTAATTGGAAGTGACCTTACTGCTGTAAGTACAGTGATTTTGGAAGTTAATTTTAATTAAAATATGCATCCTTAGCCTGAAAGAGTAAGTACTTTGCTCGTCAAGTATAGGTATTACAAGGTGGAAAACAATACGTACCAAAAAAGTTACCAGATTTTTTATTTTAATTTTTTTTAAATCATAAACACATAGATCATGTATACATTAATGCATTTATGGGGTACAATGTGGTGATTTCATATAGAATTAGGAACATTTACATTGCACTGGTTAATACATACCTCATCTTGTTTATTTGATTATTGTGGTAAGACATTTATACTCTATACTTAATAGATCCCAAATGTACCTTTGTAATATGCACGGTAGGTATGATCCTACCATTCACCCTCCCTTGATCTGACCTCCCCCACCCCTCCCATCCCCCCACTAAATTTTAAAAAGTGTTATTTACTAGCATAAAAAATATGGAAAATGATACAGTACTTCTTTGTTAGTCTTCATCCATTGGTTTTAATGTTTTATAGCAAAGGTCAGCAATTTATGATGAGTATGTCACAGAGAACACTCAGCTGGATAGGGCCAGCATACATCCCCTCCCCCCCCACTAGGGCTCTATTTCCCTCCTATAAGAGCCAGATACATCACTGCACTTCTTTAGGAGTTCATATAGTATACATCCCTGTTTATCTGTTTATCTCTGCATCCAAGATAACTAAAGAGTAAAACCCTACACCATCACTATTAGCATTATGTCAGCTCTCTTTTATTCTTTGTTTTCCTATTCTCTTAAAAGAAATCTATATTATTAATTGGTTAATGTATTAACTTTTCAGTAACCACAGAGCTATTTTGGTTTATGAAGGAGTAAGGAATTGCCTCATAATTTACCTTTATCTTCAATAAATTTCTTTTTATCTAAACAGAAGTTATTTCGAGTGCTGCCTTGTGACTTTTATGCTTCCTTCTGCAGAGAAAGTCAAACATCTTTCTACAGCATTCCATTTTATTGGACTTTTTGTATCAGTTCATGAGAGCTTCAGTTGCTGACGAATTTTAAACATCTTTGATCAATACCTGCATTTTTACACTACTATTGCAATATGTTTTTCAGGTTTTCAATTCGAAAACAGCTGAACTCCTTAGTCATCATCAGGTGGAAATAAAACAAGAGTTTCCAAGAGAGGGGTAAGTTTCCTAATTTAATATGTAAAGACATGTTTGTTACTCTACTTCATCCCACTTGCCCTATGGATTCGTGAAGTAAACTCAGCCAGACACCCTCCTGAGAAGACTTGAGAGATTGGTATTAGTCAAGAAAAGAAGCAATAACTTGGTATCTCAGCAAAAATATGTAGGTAATTGATGGCTTAGGAATTCAGTGATGGAAAAGGAAAAGATCATAAAGCGGTACAATAAAAGACTATTAAATATCAGAAATTCTAAATTAATTTTTGAAGTCATTTAACACTGTGTCCATATTGTTGCCAAAGTACTGCTTGGCTGATATGAGTGTCTTTTTTCAAAAAAAAAAATGCAGATATCTGTTTTTTTAAGAAGCAATCATGTATCCTTGTCCTAGGATCCAATTACCAAGAAAAATCAGCATTCATATATCTTGTCTCATATTAAAATCATTTGGGGGAGAACACTATTCATATGTAGTAATTGTGAATAATATAATGTTAAGTATGTTATTTAAAATCTAGTGATATTTGTGAAACACCCGCTTTGAAAAACTATGTGGCTGTTTCTTGTAAAGTTAACTGTACACCTGTAGCATTCTACCCTCAGGAATTTATCCAAGAGAAATAAAAGCATATGTCCATAGAAAGGCTTACCTGTTCATGTTTGTAGCCACTTTGTTCATGGTAGCCCCAAACTAGAAACAGCCCAACTTGTCTGTCATCAGCAGAATGGACAATGATGGAATACTATTCAGTAATTTTTAAAAAGTGAATGGATACATGCAATAACATTGATATTATAGATTGTGAAAACAGTTGGACACAAAAGAGTATATACTACATGGCCCCATTTATCTGAAGTTCTAGGATAATGGAAATCAGAAAAGTGGTTTGCCAATGGGGTGTGTAGTTGATTCGAAAGGAAAATGAAAGAACTCTCTAGGTGGATGAAAATATTCTACATCTTGACTGGGGTGTTGGTTTAGATTGGTATTTCCATTTGTCAAAACTCAGCAAATTGTTTTGTTTTTTTTTTTTTTGTTTTTTTTTTTTTGAGACAGAGCCTCAAGCTATCCCCCTGGGTAGAGTGCCGTGGCATCACGCTCACAGCAACCTCCAACTCCTGGGCTCAAGCGAGTCTCCTGCCTCAGCCTCCCAAGTAGCTGGGACTATAGGCGCCCGCCACAACGCCCGGCCATTTTTTTTTGGTTGCAGCCATCATTGTTGTTTGGCGGGCCCGGGCTGGGGATTCGAACCCGCCACCTTAGGTGTATGTGGCTGGCGCCTTAGCCGCTTGAGCCACAGGCGCCGAGCCAAAACTCAGCAAATTGTATACTTCAGATCTGTGCATTTCACTGTAAAGTTTACAATTTAAGAAAAAGAAAAAAAAATTAATATCTTACCAAATTGTATTATTTTCTTTCCATGAAAAAATGTTCTATTTTTTAGCAAGTTCCTTTGTTTAATAATAAAATCCTTCGGTATGGTAGCAGCATTAGCACTGTCCACAGGCCTGATCCCAGTGTAATTTGGAAAGAGGATGCCTGGGTCATAATGGGATAAAAATTAGAAATATATGGAAGAAAATTGAGTTTTTAAAAAGAGAGAAGTTAGAACTCAAAATTCAGGGAAGGGAACCATCTAGTCAGGCCTGAGGAACGCAGAGAAGAAAGGCAGTTGGAATTTTCTTGCTACTTCCAGATCCTAGGGTGGGATTCTTTTACTTTGTGTCAAGTCTGTATTTTGGCTTCCTCAAATTACCATTTATTTCTCTCAGGCTTCTCGTCCTTCTCATTTATTATCAGGTTTTCATCCTTCTGAGGCCCTGGTCCCTTCTCCAAATTGCACTGAGATTGGGTCTGAAAGAGTTAATTAGGAGTTTAAATTACTCTACATGAAAGAGCTATTAGGAGTTAAAATTGTTTTTTATTAAATTCCAACCAAACATTTCGGGAAAGAAGTGGCAAATACTTATTTAACATTGCAGAATTCCTTTTGCTTTACACATCTATAATTCTCAAGAATAATTAATATGAAGCTAGGTAGCTCACACCTCTTATAATCCTACTACTATGGGAGGCTGAGGTGGGAGAATCCCTTGAGCTCAAGAGTTCAAGACCAGCCTGAGCAAGAGTAAGACCCCCTCCCCCATCTCTAAAGAAAAAATAGAAAAATTAGCTGGGCATTGTGGTGGGTGGCTGTAGTTCCAGCTACTTGGAAGGCTAGGAGGATCACTTGAACCCAGGAGTTTCAGGTTGCTGTGAGCTAGGCTGATGCCACAGCACTCTAGCCTGGGGCAACAGAGTGAGGCAATGTCGCAAAATAATAATAATAATAAATACATTTCTGTCTACTTAGAAATAACTATTCACTAGTGAAACATGCACCTAATTTATTAAAATTAATCAAACCTACAGAATATGAAGAATTAAGGAAACTAATTTCATATTGGACTTGAAAAAAATAATTTTAAAATAGGTGGAATATTTGCTATTTGTGGACTGCTGTTAGTGGGCTCCTTTAAAGTAATTAATTACTATATGAAGAAAAATTAAAATGTAGGGAAGTAGGCTTTTCTTTAAACTATTACTTTAGAATTTAGGATACCAGTTGCTCTGCTTATCTGATTTTCTTTAATTTAGATACCAGCCACACCCTCAAATTAACATTTCTATAGGATTAAATTACATTTATATTGCTTTCCTGTTGAGTAATCCAGTGCATTCTTTTGTTCAAAGATGGGTGGAACAAGATCCTAAGGAAATTCTTCAGTCTGTCTATGAGTGTGTAGAGAAAACATGCGAGAAACTCGGACAGCTCAATATTGACATTTCCAACATAAAAGGTATTTTTAACAGAATTTTTACACACATGGTATGACTTTCTCCATCAGATCACTAATTCATTCTTCCAGCTCGTAACTGACTGCCTGTTCAGTGCCAAGCATTTCTGTGAGAACTTGAAGATATGGCACTAAACAGGAACTCCAGACATTGGTGGTTCAATCAACATTGGTAGCAGTAAAGGTGCAGAGAAAGAGCCAAAACTTTCTTATGGATTGCACGTTAGGGTAGTAGAGAGAGTAATGAGATAAAGGAAAGAGATGGGTCAACAGGGATGCCTTTTACTGAGGAGAGAAAGACTGATGGAAGGAAGGGTTTGGGATCCAAACACTTGACTTGTAAAATTTCCCCGAAATAGGCTCGGCGCCTGTGGCTCAAGTGGCTAAGGCGCCAGCCATGTACACCCAAGGTGGCGGGTTCAAATCCAGCCTGGCCCGCCAAACAACAATGACGGCTGCAACCAAAAAATAGC